GTACTTCTTCATATTGTATCCCTTAGAACTCTAGAAATATACCATACAATGAATTTTTATTGGGATAGTGTAGAAGCAGTTATCCTATTTAATAAAAGAGTAATATGCTTTTGAACGTTTTGGAACCATTTGTCACTCCACGATAAAGATGGCTGCACCCACAGCCAGTAAGGAGGGAATGTGCAAATTGATGCGACAAAGATGGCGGCACCGGCCAGAGCCATGGAGCCAGCCGGAGCGGGCAGGAGGCTTGGCGACCAAGAAGTCAAGTGAGCCGGAGAGCAGGCGGGAGGCGGAGGCTTGGCTTCCTTGGTCACAGCCAGCTCCGTGGCCGCCTCCCAGACAAAGCCATAGTGGCAGGGCTGAGGCAGAGGCGGTTAGGGGCAATTAGGCCAGGAGGGGAGGGCAGTTGGGGATGATCAGGCCAGCAGTGGGGGAAGTTGGGGGTGAGCAGGCCAGCAGGGGGGGCAGTTGGGGGCAATCAGGCTGGCAGGGGGGTAGTTGGGGGTTAGCAGGCCAGCAGGGGGTTGTCAGTTGGGGCCACGCAGGCTGGCAGGGGCGGCAGTAGAGGGCGACCGGCTGGCAGTGGGGGGCAGTTGGGCAGGATCAGGCCAGCAAGAGGGGCAGTTTGGGGCAAGCATGCCAGCAGGGGGGGCAGTTGGGGAAAAGCAGGCCGTGGGGGGGGGCAGTTTGGGGCAAGCATGCCGGCAGGGGGGTCAGTAGGGGGCGAGCAGGCCAGCAGTCAGACATCCCCCAAGGGGCCCCAGATTGGAGAGGGTGCAGGCCAAGCTGAGGGATGACATTCCTGCCCCCGCCCCATGCACAAATTTCGTGCACCAGGCCACTAGTGTACATCATAATGTAGTAAAATAGTTGATACCATTTGAAAGGCCACATCAATACCAACCAATATGAAAGGTCATATTTCATAGTCTACCAAGTAAAAGACTTCCATGAGAGAAGCATATATGCATACATTTTATGAAAGATAGGCGCTAAAATGCTGGAAGTGGTGGCAAATTTAAATCTATCAATATAACTGACGACTGTTATTTCAAGGATGTACTATGTTCATTCCCAATAAATAATTAATTTGCTGTGATTCACAACCTTTTACTTGTGTGTTACTGCATGTCAATCTTCTTCTCTGGCCTGAGTCAATGACCAGAACTATTTTGTTAAACAACAGGGGGTGCCATTTACATAAGTGGTTTCTCCAAGATAGAGCTCTTGACATTTTCTTTTCTTTATATGACATACTTTAAGGTGTCAGGAATATAAACCCCTTCTTGAGTGAAAACTTTGGAAAATATATTTACTTTTATCTTGGTGCACCCAGAGCTGTGCCATGCAATGGCCTGGTCAATGACACTTTTCAGTGCTTAAAAGAAGTACCTGCTTACTGTTATTAATAATTACTTAACTTCCTACCATTCTCTTTAGTTATCTTGTTTCTTTCCTTACAAAACGCTGTAGGCTAATTGCTTCCATTCAATAAGAATCACTGACCTTTTCATGTGTTAACACAGTGAAAAATATAATTTTTAGGGAGATGTCAAGACTCCTGCTCTCAAAGAACTGATATCCTATTTGAAAATAAAATACAAAATACATATAGGAAATTAGTATGGCAGGACTTTACACATACTATTACGAGCTAACCCTTACTTTAAATAAGTCAGTCAGAGGAGGACAAATAACATATGATTCCACTTACAAGTGGAATCTAAATAACAAAAATAAATGAACAAACAAAATAAAAACAGACTCATAGATGCATAGAACAGACTGATGGTTGCCAGAGGGGAGAGGAGTTGGGGGGCTGGGTGAAAAGGGTGAAGAAATTAAGAAGCACAGATTGGAAGTTGTAAAGTACAGCATAGGGAATATACTCAATAATATTGTAATAACTATGTAGGGTGCCAGGTGGGTACTGGAAATATCAGGGGGAACTCTATAGAGAGTATATGATTGGCTAACCACTAAGCTGTACACCTAAAACTGATACAAAATAACATGGAATGTAAACTGTAGTTGAAAAATAAAATTTAAAAAAGAGTTAACACTTAACTGAGCAATTTAATTTTTACTCAACCCTTGGGGTAGGTTACTACTTATTAGCCCCATTTTTCAGATGAGGAAAACTGAGACCAGGAGAAGTTAAGTAACTTGCCCAAGCAATTTAAGTGGTGAACCAGGATTCAAACTCCATATTGGTCTAGCTCCATGGACCACTCTTTTTCACCACCACATTTTACTGTTAGGAAAGACAATCCCACAAAGCAATGAGGACAAATGTCAAAACTCAGAAAAATGACTACTTCCCATAAAGCTGGGCTCACTAGCTCTACTGCCCAGTAGAAAAGGACTCACGAGTCACAGGGAATCACAATAAGTCAGCAATGTTATTTTCCCACAATACTTACCTCTTTGATTCGCTTAACCAAAGCATTCTGATCAAAAGCAACAGCCTCTGCACACTGATGGAGGTGATCCTGATATCGGAGGCAGAGCTGCAACACCTGCTGAGAATCCAGTTTCTCCAATTTGGTATTTGTTGGGGAAGTCTGGCCACTCAATAGCCCTTCAAAGCAGAAAAAAAGAATGAAGTCAAATGAAACGAAAATTACTATTAATAAACTTGTGAATAAAGTAGCTTAATAATAAGTTTACTAAAGACTGGGCAAGAGACCTAAATTTAATCTTGCATCTTTTGTTATATGCTAATGACGATCACAGCAACTATCATTTATGGAGCATCTACTATGTGCCAAGCACTGGCTAAGGGCTTCCTGTGCATTAGTATATACTCTTAATCACCATGGAAAGCAAGGTATTATTAGCCCCAATTTACAGATGAGGAATCCAAGACACAGAGAGGTTAAGTAACTTCCCTAAAGTCACAGAGCTAGTAAGTGGTTTCTCTAAGACAGAACTCCTGACCTTATGACACTACTTCAAAGTATCAGGAATATAAATCCCTTCTTGACTGAAAACTTTGGAAGATGTATTTACTTAATTCCTTTTAATAATTCTAATTGTTGTCTGAGAAACTGAAAAAAAAAAGAAATAAAATGGATAAGGAAGTTGTTAGGAGGAGATGTAAAATGAAAAAATTTAAAAAGTGAACAGAGTATCAGCTGACACAATCATAAACCTCATTCTTCACATTTTCTTCCAACAAAAGTTTAGTTGTCTAACTACTAAATTCTCTTACATTTGCATAGGACAGTCTATTTTCAAAGCTTTTCATATAGAATTATCTCACTTTTCTTTAAGGTATATAGAACAGGGCAATTATTAGCATTTATAGAAGAAGAAATCAATAAAAGAGGCTAAATGACTTGCATATGATCACACAGCAAAATCCTGACTAGAACGCAAGTCCACCAACTTTTGGCCAAATGCATTCTGGTAATCACACACTTTTTGGTGTTAGGACCCCATTACCGTCTCAAAAATTATTGAGGACCCCAAAGAGCTGTGGTTTATGTAGTTTATATCAATATTCACCAATTAAAAATTAAGCTGAGAAAATTCTTTAATATTTATTAAATCATTTAAAAATAACAATAACTTCATTGAATGTTAACAAGAAACATATTTTAAGAAAAAAGAATTCTATTTTCCAAAACAAAAAAGTGAGAAAAGTGGCACTTATTTATATTTTTCTACGTCTTTTTAATGTCTGGCTTAATAGAATACAGTTGGAGTTTTGTATCCACTTCTATGTTCAATTTGTTGCTCATTCACATCACGTCACCTCTGGAAAACTCTATTGCACACTTGTAAGAGAATGAGAGTAATTAGCAAATATCTAAATATTACTGTGAAAACTCCCCAGGAGGGTCCTGGGGACCTCAGGGATTCCCCCCACCACACTCTGAGAAGCACTATGCTAGATCAGGGTCTGCCTCATATCAGAGCCAATGAAACAGCAAGAGGTACACCAAAATAAACATGACAACAGGGTACATGCTGGGCATGATGAGGGTGGACCTACCCATAGCAAAAGTCATCTTGGGAACCCTTCCCCATTCCTGCACCCAACCACCAATGTCAAGCCCTCACTGGTTCTGAGGTATGGGAGCCCAAGCCCAAGTGTTCCTTCCCCACAGACAGGCTGTAAGATGAGCTACCCAGTTGGGTAGTCCCAGAGAATCCTTGGAAGTGCCAGTCACTGCTCTCAGATCTTCATCTGGCCTAACCGAGCAGAGCACAGAATTGAACCTGAGGCACTGCCTTGCTCCCCAACACTCCACTGCCAGCACTAGGTCCCTCAGCTGTTCCACTGCTGATCCTAACACCAAGAGCCCAGTTACTCCAGTGGACCTGCCTCTACATAGCAGTTTTTGGTGAAGCTGGTAGTTGCAAAAATGGGAATTTATTTTTTAATTGTACAGGATTTTGTGTATCTATTTACCCAGTCTCCCCCCAAAGGTAACATCTTGGAAAACTACAATACAATATCACAACCAGGATATTGACAATGATACAATGATACAATCTACTGATCTTATTCAGATGTCTCCATTTTACTTACACTCATTTGTGTATGTGTGTGTGCATGTGCAGACGCACCGGTGAATTTAGTTCTATACAGTTTTTTCACATGTAGGGTCATGTGTCCTCCATCACCGACAAATAATGAGCCATTCCATCACACAAGGGTTTCTTGTGTTGCTTCTTATACCACATCCACCACTCTCTCATCCTTGCTAGGGGAGCATCCTTAGCCCTAGCAAACACTAATCTGTTCACTATTTCTAAAACTTTGCCATTTGAAAAATGTTTTATACATGGACTAATACAATATGTAACCTTTGGGGACTGACTTTTTTTCACCTAACAAAATGCATTAGAGATTCATCCATGTTGTCACATATTGTTGGTAGCTTGTTCCTTTCTATTTCTGAGTAGTACTCCATGGCATGTATGTACCACAGCTTGTTTAACCATTCACCCACTGAAGGACACTGGAGTTGTTTCCAGTTTGGGGCTGTTAAAAAAACTGCTATAAACAGTTGTGTATAGGTTTATGTGTAAACATAAGTTTTTGTATCTCTGGTATGAATGCCCAAGAGAGCAATTTCTGCGTTGTATGGTAACTGCATGTTTAGTTTTACAAGAAACTGCCAGTTTTCTAGAGTGCCTCTAATCAAGAAGATGGATTTTTTTTTTTCAGAACACTGAAATCTCCTAACATAAATATCAATTATCTCCTACTAGAGGCCTGGTGCACAAAATTTGTGCACTGGGGGTTGTCCCTCAGCCCAGCCTGTGCTCTCGCAGTCCGGGACCCCTCACTCCTTACCACCCACCTGCTCATTGCTCCTTAGCGCTGCCACAGAGGCGGGAGAGGCTCCCGCCATCGCCACTGGGCTCGCCAGCCATGAGCCGGGCTTCTGGCTGAGCAGCGCTCCCCCTGTGGGAGTTCACTGACCACCAGGGGGCAGCTCCTGCACTGAGCATCTGCCTCCTGGTGGTCAATGCACATCATAGCAACTGGTCGTTCTGCCATAATGGTCACTTAGGCTTTTATTATATAGATAAGTGACAAATAACACAGTCCCAGAAACAGACTTGGAGGGAAGACACCAAAAGCTTTTTGCTGTCAATCCAAGACTGAAGTAGGAAAAGAGTGAGTATGCACCATGGAAAGAGGAATGATTTTGTGCCATTAGTAGCAGGCCAGGACAATGTGGAGGTCATAAGGGAAACAATGATAAATTCAACAATATAAAAATCAAGATTCCCCATGGCAAAAACAGGTTTAAAAGTACACAAAAATACCTGGGAAGAATATTTGCAACTCAATCACAAATGGTAAGTTCCTCTTATATATAGAGCTCCTAGAATTGGCAAGCAAAAAATCAGCCAAAGACAGATAGAAAAAAGACATGAAAAGGCACTTCACAGAAAAGGATATACCAATGCTTCAACTATAAGAAAAGATGCATAACCTTACTCATCATAAGAAAAGTAGAAATTAAAACTTTATTGCTAGCCCATTTTTCACCCACTAAATTGGTAAAAATCCAAAAGTATGATAAAAACTCTGTAGGTGGAACTATGAGGAAATAGGCATTGTTGATTCATGTGTAAGTCATTAACACCTCTATTGAGGGCAACTTGGCATGGATTTCAAAATTACAAATGCATAAAGCCTTTGATAGAATAATTTCACTACTAGGAATTTACATGTACATTAGCATGTGTGTTAAATGATGTGAGATATATACATAAGATTATTCATTGCAACAGTGATTATAATAGCAAAATATGAACAAACACCTCAATGTCCATCAATGGGGAGTTTGTTAATTAAACCATGATGCAGCCATTAGTAAGAATATATGATCACAGAAAAGAATGAGGAAGCTCTGTATGTATTCATATAGAAAAATCTCCAAAAGATATTAATAAAAGAAAGGTATATAGGATAATGTATAGAGCATGCTACCACTGTGTAAAAGGGGAGGGACAATAAAATAAAAATATATACTCATAATTGCTTATCCTATCTAATAAACAGGAATATGCTAATTGACCCTCACGCCATCACAAAACATGGCGACGCCCAGTCCCCTCAGCCCCGCCACGTGCCTACCTCTGGAGTCCCCCAGTCCCCTCAGCCCCCCAGCCACCAAGGGCAGGCCTGAGGCACAGGCAAGCCTCAGATGGTGGCTGCCCAGCCGCCCAGGGCTGCCCGAGGCTCAGGTAACCAGGGCTGGCTGAGGCTTGTGCTGCCGGCAGTGGCAGCAGCAGAGGAATGATGGGTGCGTCGCCTTCCCCTGATCGCCGGGTCGCCTCCCGCCCCTGAGGGCTCCCAAACTGTGAGAGGGGTCAGGCCAGGCTGAGGGACCCCCGCTCCAGTGCATGAATTTTCATGCTCCAGGCCTCTAGTATTTACATAAAGAAACTCAAATGACAAGAATTAGACAGTTGGAAAACAGGGATCTGGAGAGAGACATTCATATAAATGTATTTCCCTTTCAAATATTTTTAAACATTCATTTTAACAAAACACGGCAAGGTCTTTCCCATCTATTAATAATGTCTTCTTGGGCAACTTTCCCTTCTTCCCTCACTCAATTATCCCCAACTCTGTAAGTCAAAACCAGTTCCTATCTTCCAAGGTTTATAATGTATGAGTACACCTTAAAACAGTTATCTTCTCCAAGACACTTAAAAGTCTCATAACAAACTGTGAGCTGGTAGAACAGGAACCATGTTTTACTTACTTTTTATCTCTTGTGTCTAACATACAGCATCTGGTACATAAAAGGTTCTCAGATTCGGTTAACCAGTTAACTGCCACAATATTTTGAATTTAATTAAAAAAGGTCCACCGCTTGCATCTATAGACGCTTATGGCGTACAAATGGTTACGAGGATGCAGTTCTAATGCTGGAATTCCAGGAACGAGTGAGTTGAGGAAGACTTTAGGAGGAAAAAAGGCTTTTCAGGGTCTCTACTCTGTATTCTTCACATACACGTAAGAGTGAGGCCTGGTCTCAGAGTGAAACTGCTCTTCCCAAGTGAGTGAGGAACTAGCCAGTGCTTGAGATTACTCTTGGGAGC